ATCATTGCTCTTTGGATAAAAGCATCTGCTACGTGAGTATCGATATATATATTGTACCTATTTGGTCTATTTTTCTCAGTTTAAATGGACTGAAGGTTGTTGGGGCATGTTAAAAATCGAGCTTTTATTGAAAAGAAAATTCTTATTGAAAACACAATATCTCCAAACGACGCACAGAGGCCTTGGTTGAGTGGTATTTGTTATTCAAGCGTTCACCTTCTGAAAGAAGTATTAAAGTTTCGTAAATGATGACTTCAAGTTGTAGAAAGAACTTTTTACAAAGCTTCAAAAGTCCTTAAAAGAGAATATTTCTGCAGCCATCTAAAATCCTTGAATTATTTATCTTCAGTGCTTGCAAAATGTGCTATTCACTGTATAATTTTAAAGGTTAGCGAAGTAGTCCCATCTTTTTTTTTTTTTCGAGCTGTGCATCTCTTTTATTGCCTTGCAATGTTAGTCACCCAGGAAACAAAGTGTTTATGGAAGAATTGTTTTAAACGGAGAGAATTTGCAGAGCTCCAGCAGATGATGGAACATCTTAAAAGGTCATTGGATGATAATGTTTTTTAAAGACTATTAGGAATAGTGCTCCTACAAATAAAAATGTGTTTAAAATAATAAATAATTAATTAGTTACATTTATTACAGATTTAACATGCAATAAAAATGCACTGCAAGCAATTTCTCAGTTATTTCACCTCAATGCGTCTAAATTTACATATCATTGGAAACGGGTGGATTTAAAGGGCTCCTATTTTACCCCTTTTTCAAGATTTAAGATAAGTGTTTTGCGTCTCCAGAATGTGTAAAGTTTCAGTTTAAAAAAAAGCCCATCTGATTATTTATTATATCTTTCAGAATGTTGGAATTTTCTACTCTGAACACAATGTAGCTGTTTTTGTTAACTGTGCCTTTAATGCTGGTTCTCTCCGTCCACTGTTCCCACATCCCTGTCAGCGTGCCTTAATCTCCACCTTAGCTGCATCAAATAAACAGCACAGTGACAGACATGAAATGAGCAGATCTCCCCTAACATTTGTGAGAAATACTACAGTAAGTACTTTCCCAATGATTATTTGATGTATTTGTTGTGGAGTTAATTTAAGCCTTTCTGCAACGATGAGTCACACACAAAGTTGTTACAAAGTTCACACACATAAACAGTTTTTGCATGGTAAATGTGACAGGATACACATTAATATCCACTGCTGTATGGATATCCATTATGTTAATGTACAAAATAAACCTGATTTAACATCCACAAACCTAGATTGAAGCGTCTTCTTTTATACTGACATGCGTGTAAAACCACTGTAATTCATTACAAACATGCACTGTTTTAAAAACGTTTTAAACTTGTAAAACTCCTTCTTGAGGTGCTGCTGATCACAGAGAACTGAACGGATCTTTCAATCGCAGATGCTTTGCGCCTGTCCTGTCTTGTTGATATGATTATACACGTTACTACGGAGACATGTTAATATGCGGATGTCAATCAAATTGGTGGGTGGGGAAACCGCATTCCTATGTCACATTGCGGTCGGCCTCAAAATGGGAGGGATTTGGATCCTATTTTAACGTCAGGAAATTTTTTTAATTGGATGTTTGAGCTGAAAATAAATTGCAGTTAAATACCTTAAAATCTAGGGGCATTCTTTGTCTCCAGAATTCACACCAATTATGTGTTTTTTTTACAGCATTTTTATAAAAGTGGCTTTAATACGTAATTTAACACACTGAGTTCTAGTCCTAACTTAAGCTAAACCTTGTTTGTGAAACTGGACCATAGTGTTTCTATCACCCCAGTATGACAGTGGACACACTATACCTATACGCAGTTCTGTCCAAACAGCTTACAAAAGCTGATTTTCATCATAGGTGTCCTTTAACCGAAAAGCAAGGTAAAATAGCCACTTAGTGCCCCTGAAAATTTGAGGGCCCCCAATAAATACCTTGAAGAAGTACAAATTATGCCTATATTAGCTGTGTGAATGTTCAGATACACAAAGTTGGGTAAATGCTTAGCTTGGGTAAGATTATTTAGGGAGTGTATTTAGTGGCAAAGATTTCCATTTCTTTTTCTCATTTTTATTTCCTTTAGTTAGTTTAGAGGGGATCTTGTGTTCTAGCTTGTTGGTTTTGTTTAGATTTTTGATTTGGCGCCACTCTAGTTGCTTTCCCTCACCTCTAACTGATCATTTCTATTTATTTTCACTTGCATTGTAAATAGCTCATACATGCCGTTCTTTTGTTGGCTTTATCCTTTTCCTTATAGGCGAATAAACATTTGTTTGTTCTTGTTTATTTCCATCCATTTTATTCAGTAGTAATATGTAGTCATTTTTTAAATGTTGTATTTGTTTTCCCTAGACACCTTATAAAATCCTAACAATAATGATTTTCTATCATATTTGTATAAGTTTTATTGTAATTATTACATCAGTGCAAATTTGTCCCCCACCCTTAATCATGCAACAGTCAAGCAGTCACATCAGATGAAGATTTAGTTTTAAAAACAAAAATGTAGAAAAGGAGATCGAGTGGTATAGAAAAAAGACAACCAAATAAATAAATAAAAAATACAAAAGGTGCGTATTAGAACTGTTGAGCCCCAAAATTACTAAACCTGTCACTGAATGAAAAACTGAATTGTTGGTTGAAGGCATTGGATGCATGTTGATGTTGGCCCAGTGCTCATCATGAGACCTGTGATAGATTGAATCTAACTATTTAATTGAATTACTGAGACTGAGCAGGGAGTTTCAGAGTGCAGTGCTCACCTCCTGGGCTTCCAGCTCAGAACTTTATCAAAGAGCTCCATCAAAACTGCATGCACTCCAGGAAACAGCTTCAAAGTCTACTTCATCCAGCCTCAAATGACGCTCAGTTTATTTATTTATAGTTTATCTAGTACTTTTGGAATAAACTGATATATCCTTGTGTATTTTCTTGAAAAAAGTATTAATAAACATTATGCACTGCTTAACAGAGAGCGGGAGAGCTGTTAAAGGTTGTATTTTAGTAGCTACAAAATGTGGAGTCAAAAGTGCAATTACATAAATGCTTCATTTAGATTTGTGCATTGACACCTGGAACTCTTGAAATTGTCTAAAATTAGGATTTATGATTTATAGACTTGAGTAAGACATCATTTTTGTTTCATTATTTGGATTCCTGATGAAATTTTTTTCCAAACTGAAAATAACAGTGTTTGTCATTTAGAGCATTTTCAAAATAAACAACATTTTATAGATAACAAAAAAATAACTCTTTACCTATGCAAGAGTTTAAAGAATCATTCATCACAAAAATATTCATACCAATTGTGAATTTGTAGGACAAAAATGCTCTAAATTACAATATTTTATTTGTGGAAGAGTGTAAGCAGACCTTTATAGAATGAAACATAACAAATAAACACACACATAAACTGCATTTAAAGATATATTTTGGTAGTTTTGGTTAAAGACCATTTAAATAAAGACATTTTCATGTAAAGTACAGGTAAAAAGTTTAGGGTCAGTTGTTTTTCATTTATTAATCGTCAATGCGGCATTTAATAAATGTAAAAAAAATTGTTAAATATCTATTAAATGTGTATTTATTACTTATTGTATGTAGTTTCAAATGAAAATATTATTTCAGTCATTGTTGCTTTTATTACTATTACCAGATAATAATAATAATAACAGTAATAATTAATATTAGAGTCATTTCTGATGAATCATGTGACTCTGAAGACTGAAGTATAATGCAGCTAAAAAATTCATCATTAAAATCATTGGAATAAATAAATTAATTAAATTATAAACTACTTGAACACACTGTAAAACCCAACAGTCAACTTTATCAAGTGAAATGAGTGTAGTAAACTCAAAATGTACTGAAAGTTAATTCTACTCATTTAAAAAAGAGTTTTGAACTCAGTGTTGAAGGTAATGAGTTAATTAAATACCTCATTACTTCAACTTAAATAGAGTAGGTTCACAGTACTCGTACAGATTAGTTTACTCAAATGGTTTGTAGCAATTGGTTACCTCAAACAGTTTGAGTTGCCTTAACTTATTGGGCTTTACAGTACTCAGTTGGTTGGAGTTCTCGTTGTTTATTGGGTTTTACTGTGCTCAAATTCCTTTACTGAAATGGATTAAGTTCACAGTACTCATTAGAATTAGTTTTTAAACTTAAATGGTTTGTTGCATTCATTCATTCATTCATTTTCTTGTCTGCTTAGTCCCTTTATTAATCTGGGGTCGCCACAGCAGAATGAACCGTCAACTTATCCATCACATTTTTACACAGTGGATACCCTTCCAGCCGCAACCCATCGCTGGGAAACATCCACACACACATTCACACACACACACACACTCATACACTATGGACAATTTAGCCTACCCAATTCACCTGTACCGCATGTCTTTGGACTGTGGGGGAAAACGGAGCACCCGGAGGAAACCCACGCGAACGCAGGGAGAACATGCAAACTCCACACAGAAACGCCAGCTGAGCTGAGGATCGAACCAGCGACCTTCTTGCTGTGAGGCGACAGCACTACCTACTGCACCACTGAGTCGCCTTTGTTGCAATTGGTTTTACTCAAATGGTTTGAGTTACCTTAACCTTTTGAGTTTTACAGTGCAGTTATTTGTTCAATAACATTGCACATTTTTTTCATTACACAATTTTTTGTTCTGTATTTTTGATTAAATAAATGCATATATATTTAAACGATTGAACAACCCATGTTGACAAGAACAATTTTGAAAAACATTTGATTCACTTCAAATGTTGACTGCATATTTCTGTCATGAAGTTACCAACAAGCAAGCATGGTATAATTAGGCATTATAAAATGTATTGTTTGTTGAATAATGAATATGGACAAAAAACATGACTATAAAATGTCCTCGTTTGCATAAAACAGATCTAAATATGCTAAATTAAATTAAAATTCTCTTCACAGCCCTAAAAGAATGTTCTTGAACTTTTAAACTTACCTATCCACACTGATCACACACAGTGTCATTATTGATGCTGTGCAGCACATGACATCCATCCCAATAAAGATGTTGCAGAAGACCTCTCCAAACAGCCAGACTCCTCCAGTCAGGTCGGTCACAATGGCAAAGGGCATCACGGCCACAGCCACTGAGAGGTCAGCAATGGCCAGAGACACCAGCAGATAGTTAGACGGCTGTCTGAGCTTTTTCACCACACAAACCGCGATCACAACCAGCGTGTTTCCCATGACAGTGACCGCAGTGATGGAGCTGAGCATCAGCCCGACGATCACAGTCTTGGTCAAGTCCGGATCCAGAGTCCGCTGCTCCCCACAGGAACCATTGCTTCTGGGCTCCGCTGTGGTTAATGCAGTGGGGAAAAACTCTGTTGTCCCATTGAAAAGGGCAATTTCGGTCTCTCTGGAAGCCAAAACCAATTCGGCGCCATGTGTCGTGAACATTACTGTGTTGTTGATCTTTTCAACGTGAACAAATATTCCGCGCGCTTGAAGTGGAGAGGGAGCGTCATGATGATGATGATGATGATGAGCTTTCTGAGTGCAGATCTGAGCTCCACAAGAGCCAAACACAGGAGAAACTCCGCTCTCTCACACTAGAAACACTGAACACACACACACATACACTTTCTCTCAAAGTAAAGAAACGGCGAGTGAACCCACACACCTTCCAAAATAAAACAACGTTTAGGCTGGTAGCTTAATTAATGTAGCCTGATAAACAGAACCTTTTTAAGGGGAACTAAATGCTGGCATAGAATGACTCTGATGACTTTAAATTAAAACATGTGCATTTTGATGAAAACTGCATAACGCTCCTGAAAAAACAAACAAACAATAGAAATCATTATGAAATTTGTAATGGTATTGATGGTTATTAAAATGGACATGTAAACTGCTTGTGTTGCCTTCTATTTGGGCATTTTAAAAGCAATGCAAGCTATACAATATGGTTTAATGACATTTGCATAGAAACCTATAAAATGTTCAGTGATGGGTTCTTTTTTCCAGCAGAGGCATATAGGTTACTTCCACTTCTGGTTTTATAACAGCTTTCAGTTCTGTTTTCAGCTTCGATAAAACGTCAGCTTAGTTATTTTTGTTGCATGGCAACGTTCGGTCACATCAGATGTTATGTAGCCTATTCTTTGAATTTATATTATTATATGATCTATCTATCTATCTATCTATCTATCTATCTATCTATCTATCTATCTATCTATCTATCTATCTATCTATCTATCTATCTATCTATCTATCTATCTATCTATCTATCTATCTATCTATCTATCTATCTATCTATCTATCTATCTATCTATCTATCTATCTATCTATCTATCTATCTATCTATCTATCTATCTATCTATCTAAGCGGTTCAAGTTATCAATAATAATATTAATATAGCTTTATTTTATATTATATAATGTGTTATTTATTATCATCAACTATTATTAAAATATACAATTTTATTATTAATAATATTGTAATTATATTGCATATATATATAATAAGTTGTAATGCAATTGTTTGTCATTATTATTAAAATGGCTATTGTTTTTATTAATATAACTATTTTTATCTATTCTAATGGATACAATTGTTATAAACGCAATATCTTCTAATTATTTAGTATCATTATTATTTACAAAGGCTATGTAACGAAGCACACTTTTGTCATCACTCTCACCTGGCTCATATTTTGTATTGTTCATAAACAGTCGAATACAGTACAAGGCCGCCCTCTGGCGAGAAATCTTGGCTTCAACAAATTAGTTGGGCCTATTATTGAGCAATGTGAACAATAGGAAATATACAACCAGTCTGTTGGATGGTTATTTTCTTGACTTTTAAAATGCACTCTACTATCTTCATTTTATTATTATTTATTTATAGAAATGTATGACTTGCTACACTGAAAAAAAAAATGATTCACTGGATTTGCAATTTTTTTTCATTGGATTTTCTCCATTTTTTTAAGGTAAGTGTTTGCAAACAATTTGTATGGGCTGAATTTAATATGGGTCCATATACATTGTTTGCAATCACTAACCTTAAAAAAGAAAAAAAACTTTGTTTGCATTGTTTGCAATCACTAACCTTAAAACTTCACTGTCTTGTTTCTGCTAAAAAAAAAAAAAAAAAAAAGTTTCTCTGCATGAATTTCAGCATAAAAATCAGCAAAGTGCTCATCTTTTTCCATGCTGAGGTTTTTATTATGTAGTAAAACATGAGTTTAGACCAGGGGTGCCAAAACTTTTTCCTATGAAGGGCCAAAAAAACTAATATCATTGAGAGCGGTAGGCCGAAAGTAAATATATCAAACTAAATTACATCAAAGTTGCCATGAGTCATTTTATAGTTTATTTCATAGTGTTCAAAGTAAATATAAAACATTACTTAAAATTATATTAAAATGCAGTATAACGTTTTATATTATATCAAACAATCGCATTTATAACACAGAGGAGTTAAACTTTGAATACACTAGGCAAACAGACTCTGCCTTTGACTTGATTTGCTCACCAAAGTCTCTGCATTGTCAGATGACAATATGTACATTTAAACAAAATCTGATTCATTTACAGCATTTAATTGAAACATTCCATTCTTTTAACAATAAAACAAACAAAGGGTTACATTGAGTTTGAATTGACAATCTCAAAACCATTCACTCTCCCAAATTTTCTCAGATGGGATGGCGGGACAAATCAAAGGTTACCATGGGCCAACTTTGGCCCATGGGCCCTATTTTGGGCATCTCTTGTTTAGACCTTACATTTACTGTGATAAGCGTCATGGTGGCACAATGGGTAGCATGATCACCTCACAGCAAGAAGGTCACTGGTTCGAGCCCCGGCTGAGTTAGTTGGCATTTCTCTGTAAAGTTTGCATGTTCTCCCCGTGTTTGTGTGGGTTTCCTCTGGTTGCTCCGGTTTCCCCCACAGTCCAAAGACATAGGGGTGTATATAAATTGAGAAAACTAAATTGGCCGTAGTGTATGTGTGTGAATGCAAGAGTGTATGGGTGTTTCCCAGCGTTACGTAAAAGGATTGGTCGTTTATTCAGCTGTGGCCACCCCAGATTAGAAAAGGGACTAAGCTGAAAAGAAAATGAATGAATAAATGAATTTACTGTGATCTGCATATCACTATTGGGCAAAACCATTTTTTTCAGCGTAACAAATTACAAGAGTAGGTCAGCAACCACGTTTATTGATACAGGTTACAAGGTAATCAACAAATGAAAAAAAAGGACATTTCTCAAATTGACCACTAGATGACAATGCTGGACTACTGCTTATGGATTTTGTGTCCTCTCACTTCTCAATTCTAACATTTTCTAATTGTGTAAAACACATTTTTATTTTTAATGTAGCTTTTAGAGCAAGTCAAGTTTACAAACCACAGAGAACTGAAACAAAGACTTTTTTTTTTAGTTCAATCAATAGATCAATATTCTGGATTTCTTAGATTATTCTCAATTCAAAAGTTTCCCTGCTAGTGTAGAACCACATTTATTTTCTCTTTTAGCATAAAGAAATAGCCTAGTTTGGTTTATAACCTAGTGAACATTAAAGAATCAGGCTCCTCAATTTGACCACTAGGTGACGATGCTTGATTACAGTTTATGAATCCTCTAATTTACCATTCACTATTCTGACCTTCTCCTGCTTGGGCTTCTGTATATCGTGGTGTTCGGATGATTATTATGATTATTTGTAACCATGCACAACTCGCCTAGATATCCTATTTATGTTAAAGACTACACTACCCACAAATGTGCGTGCTGAGCACAGGCCGCCATATTGTAGGAAATCCGTTTGCACTATGGATTAGAGTTTAATCCGCAAGAAGGGAGTCAGGGCGACTCAGTGGATCGAGCAAGAAAGCGGAAAGACAAACATGAATTTGAGCGTTACAGTAAAAACAAATTGAAAACATTTTAGTATTAAAGAGCCGCTGTGATCGCTTTACAAAAACTGCCAAAATCTCGAGCGAGAGCCTTTTTATTGTCGCGCGCCTCAGGCACCCCCGCCTCTCTTTCCTCATACAGATGAAGTACGAGTCATTTTCGGGAATCGGTTCTTTTGGACAGTTCATTTTAAAGGTTCGGAGCTACAACAAATTTATCGATTCTTTTACGTCATGGCGTTATTGCGTCACTGACGTGGCAACGTAAACTAAAAGCTACTTTACATATTTTTGACATTTGCATTAATTATGTAAATAAATGCAAAAACTTACCTTTCTAGTACAACTTTTTACTATAATGGTAAAGTTTCATATGCGTAAAAATGGACTGGATCAAAGCCAAATTTTGTTCATTTCCTTTAAGAGACTGCGCTACTGCACAAGTTTGAGAACATTGTTAATTAAACAGCAAAGATGTGTAATAATCCTAAAGAATATGATATTTTTAATTACTGAATGTTTTTATGTACAATATGGCATATCAGTTTGTATATTACTATATAATTCTGTTTTTGTTGTTAAAAAATGGGATACGGCTATTGCTTTTTCTGACTCCTTTTTACGCCCATGTGTAATTTTTTAAGAAAAGAAGCTAAAAGCTAGTGACATAAATAAGTATTTTCTCCCTCTATGTAATTTAAATTTTTACATATTTTGCATATTTTAATGGCATCCCGACTGAGTTAGATGAGTTTAATAGTTCTATAAAAATCATTTAATTTCCTATAAAAACTATACCAGTGGCATTAATTCAATTAAACGTTTAGTAAAATTTATTGTTTAGACAAGAAGTGCTACAAATGTTCACAAACATTTTCAAATGAAGTTAAAAAAATAATAATAAAAATAAACAATTACTTTAAGTTGTAAATTATACTGGAAATCGATTGTAACTGATATGCTGTAGATTTGTGTAGGTTTTTGCATTTTATTATTTTTTAAAATCTATTTTTAAACCTTATACACACACACACACACACACACACACACACACACACATATATATATATATATATATATATATATATATATATATATATATACACACACACACACACACACAAAATTTATATATAACGTTATGTACTCAAACGCTTTTTTGTTGACGATGTTTTATTAGAGTCAGCCATATTTATGTCTATGTGTGTATGTATTGTGTTTTACAATAAATGTTTTGCTTGTAAATGTTATGTTTTCAAATGAACAAAGCTGTTAATAAAACATCTGAATATGCATTTTATCAGTGATTAGTTAGGTTTTTGCTCAACTCGCTCTCTACGGTTCTCAGTTCAGTGAATCGGTGAAGTGTTGACTCGAGAACCGAGTCCTTTTCGTCTGCGAACCGTTCAGGCTGGGTTTATGAACAGGTTCAAACGATTCCCTGAGATGATCCGACTCAAATGAACGATTCGTCTACGAGTCGGACATCGCTACTCCCTCAGAGAAATTGACAGCAGCTGGGTCGCCTGTGTGAGCAAACCCGAAGGACAGACACGGCAGAAAATAAAACTCTGCCGTTGCAGTGGGCTCCCCCTTCCCCTTTCCCCCACCGTTTGAGCGAACATATCAGTAAAGCGACCCGGACGAGCTCTCTGACTCCGTTTCCCCGCTTTCACAGCGGAGCGGTCAGGACTTTTGTCAGTAGCTTAGCCGAGCTAGCGGGCTAACACGACTAGCTGGGTTCAGCTACAACAAGGAATTACAAATATTCCACCGAGAAACACTGAAGAATGTCGGGGAAGGATCAGAATAAACAATCCACCACCGAACGGCTCGTGAAAGGTACATTTTCTTTGTGAAACTGCGTTTTTGTACAGTTCGGGTGGGTTTTGTGTTAGCTAACGTAACCCGCTCTGGTAGCTGATGGGTGACATTCAGTTTATGTCTAATATAAATATAAGCAAGCGAGGACATCTGTTGTGTTGACTGACTTTTGGATAACTTAGAAAGTGAAATGACACATGTTGATGGCTAATTTGACAGGCTGGCTCGGGCTGCATGGGATGAATTAGCGTGAATTAAATGAGATCAATGAAGTTTTAAGCTCTAGTGTGCAAACATTACGCAGAGGCAAAGCTCTTATTAGTGAATTAGGCCATTATGGGATATTAGTGGAGATGCATGATACTTGTAGTGGTCTGGATATGCAAAACACGTGAAATTCATGAAAATGAAACTACCAAAGCTGTATCAAGCTTTGCATTGCAGGTCTTTGTATTTTTCACTTCTCTATATCTGGCGTTTTGGTCGTGTCTCTGTCTATAGATGCTGATTAGACAACAATTCTAAAATGAAGGATGTATGAAACTCCTTTTTAGTGTAAACAGGCTTTGGTTGACTTTGATATGCATTGCAATCTCATTTGCATGACATGAAATACTTTTTGAACGTAACAGTGTTATAAATCTTAAAATGAGAGGTTAATCATACTTGTGTGTGTGTGTGTGTGTGTGTTTGTCATATATATATATATATATATATATATATATATATATATATATATATATATATATATATATATATATATATATATATATATATATATATATATATATATATATATATATATATATATATAGTGCTCAGCATAATTGAGTACACCCCTTTTTGAAATTAATTTCTTAGTGAATATAGGCAATGTATTTTGGTGTATTTAAACAAAATAGATTTATTAAGCAGATATATTTATTAAAATAATATTTTAGTTACCAAACATATTTAGAAATTGAAAGATGTTTCAATTAAATTAGAGCAAAATATAAAAAAAAAAAACAATCTACAAAATTTAAGCAAGATTTCTGTTCATTTTTTTTGCTTCTCTTGATTTTCCTCTTTTTTTTAAAAAAATGTATTTTATGTTTTTCTATTACATAAATATGTGTATACTAGTTTTTTTGGACTGTTATTGTAAGTTATTTTGTTAGATAAGCTCCAGATTTGCTTTCAGTACTGATTTTTAATGAAGACCGCATAAGTCAAGAATTCATTTGAATGATTTAGCCAGACATGTTTACTGTTCCAAAACATTTTAAATGTTTCTTAACATAAAGTATATTGTGTTTAAAAGGGGAAAAATGTTTTTTGATTTTACCCAGACATTTTAAAAGAATATATTTTAGAGCAGTAATTGCAATACTGCGAAACCATGATATTTTTATTCAAGGTTATCATACAGTCAGAATCTTATACTGGCCCATGACTACTGAGCACTATATATATAATCATTCATTCATTTTCTTGTCGGCTTAGTCCCTTTATTAATCCGGGGTCACCACAGCGGAATGAACCGCCAACTTATCCAGCAAGTTTTTACGCAGCGGATGCCCTTCCAGCCGCAACCCATCTCTGGGAAACATTCACACACACTCATACTCTACGGACAATTTAGCCTACCTAATTCACCTGTACCGCATGTCTTTGGACTGTGGGGGAAACCGGAGCACCCGGAGGAAACCCACGCGAAGGCAGGGAGAACATGCAAACTCCACACAGAAACGCCAACTGAGCCGAGGTTCGAACCACCGACCTTCTTGCTGTGAGGCAACAGCACTACCTACTGCGCCACTGCCTAATATATATATATACACACACATGATTAGTATATTTTTTGTTTTCTATTATATAATGAATAGGTATATACATCATAAATCAATTGGTTACATCTATTTTTAATATATTAGTACCTAAAAACTGAATAGGCATAAAAGTTTATTATGAGAGATGAAAATGTTTCACAGTTTATAATTTAATTGCTATGCACATTTCAAAATAAAAGATTAATGTAACTTTAAAAGCCTATTTAGCACTGTATGTTATTCTTGGTGGACTTATCAGAATGACTTATTTTATTAAGTCCACAGAGCCTTCACCCGCTTTATCAGTACACAAAAGTGCCTCTGTTAACATTAATTCAAATTACTGCAGTGCATTTGCTTTCATTCTCCTGCATCTATCGTTCTTCTGGCTTTCGGCAAGGGAATTTGAGAGAAGTAAATCCTGTGCTCTCTTGTCTGAAGGTAGAACTAAACTAATTGAACTTATCCCTGTGATCCCAATTAACCTCAAACAAATAATCCTACTTTAAAATCAAGGAAGGATTGACCTATGCTTAGGTAATTCATTTAAACATCAGCTCCCTATCAAGGGCTCATGGGAGTATCTCATGTTGAAGCGGTGAGACACAGTCGAGTAATGCTCTAATTGGATCATTAGGTCAGTGTCTTCATAGGCACCGAAGCACCCGGGGAACTTTGACTTGTTTTTGATTAAAACTACTGTGTCCGCTGACATATATAGTGTGTTCATGCCTCTCAGCCTCTTATTTGCCGCTGTCAGCTCGCTGTGTTTTAGCTGATCGGGCTCAATTAGACAGCCTCTGTAATGAGCTGTTGGCACTGGGCTCTTTAGTAGTTTAGTTCTGGAGCCGTAATGATTTGCGTCTTCCTTCCCGAGTCAGTCCATTCAGCAATCTAAATCGCTACAGACAAGAAAAAAACCCTCCTCATTAAAAAAAGAGCTCAGCCCTCATTCTGACTAGAATTGGAGATCTTCGTTTTTCAGGAGCAGTAGCATTTCAGCTTCAAATTGGTTCCAGGTTTCACTGAATGCCTCCTTTCAGTTTGAGCACTCCAACACCTGGATTTTGCGCTACACGTATGCGTAATTGCAGGCTGTCTGAAAAGTGTTTTTGTGGGATTTGTTTTGTCAACCGTGATGGCCAGACATGCATCTTATAGAAGTTCTGAACTAGAGAATTGTGCAAAAAGAATACAAGATAGAGAAGTGAATATGTTGTCTGTGAAATAATGTAAGGTGCATTCGCTTAATTATCTACATTTCAAGATGATGTTCTGTTCTGAAGCTGTTCACATCCTTCGGCTCAGAACTGTGTTTCTATGACAACACTAAATTAATCTGTAGAGAGGTCACATGGTACTAGTTTAGCTCTCAGAATATCCTTAGTATGAAACTTGTAATTGTGATCCAGATGAGTTGGAATCTTATTTTGGGGTTAAAAGATTGCGTGAACGCACCTTTAAAATGCAGTGATCCCTCTCAGACACTTTTTTTCAGTGCTTGTTTCTTAAAGCGCATTTGTCCATTGATGCTTAATATAAGGATTTTAAAGTCTTCTTTAAAGCCTGAGCCAGACCTGCCAGTTATGAGGTAAATCTCAATTTTTTTAAAGACATTTGAAAAAGTATTTTAAAATGCACCAAAGGTACAAGCTTTCAGGAAAGGGGATTACTCAACAAGTATTAAAAAATGCATTGAATGGGTTACTTACTTGCACACAGACTTTTAGTCAGAATTGTCATTCCATACAAAATCGCCACTTTTAAGATCTAATTTCTTTAAAAAAGCAGCAACCTTCACTGCCTGGCTTTCACTGGAAGTTCATCATTGGATGGAAAACACTAGCTGTGCATGCAGCTCATTGATGCAAACTAACGGTACCTTAACATAGGCTGGGCAATATGGCAAAAATGGAATCTCAATAATTATTTTTCATATTGATTGATAACGATGTATATTTACTGTTAATGCTTCCAGATTTTAAAAAGTATCCCAACAATTACTGAAGCCACAAAAAGTAGAGGGTACATTAAATGGCATAACACATTTTCAGTTTACATTTCCTGTGGCCGAAAATTTGGTATATCTCTAATACAGGGTTTCCATGGGGTCTTAAAGTATTAAAAGTTGATTAATCAATTATGCGAAAATTAAGGCCCTTAAAAGGTATTAAAAAGTCTTAATCATGTTTTTACGAGGTCTTAAGTTTTGTTCAAGCATTGTCCAGTGTTTGATTCCAAAAAAAAGCATAAATATATTTATTTTCCTTCTAATATTAACAACAGTGTGCTCAAACCACACCATTGGTTCGGGCCAGGGCGCATCCGGTCAAGCCCCTTCGTCCGGGTGATGTCACGCAATTTGGTGATGTGAAGCTCTCCACATGTAGTAAACCATAGAGCAAAACAGACAGCAAAATGGGAAAATGTAAGTTTGCGTACTCCTGGTTAGAGAAACAGGAGTTTAAACAGTGGCTGAAGCCTGTCGCTGAAAACAACCGTGTAATTTATTCTTTTAAGCTTTTGAGCTTATCTGAGTTTTGTTGCAAGGTTGTGCTCCACTAGTTTATTTAACTACAACTGTTTATTAAGTTAAAAGTTTGATACTAATTAGAACTAAAATATTCTGAGAAGGTCTTTAAAAAGTCTTTAAAAGGTATTGAAATTTCCTTTAGGATTCCTACATATACCCTGTAATATCAACATACTTTTTGATTCCTATTGTCGCACATTTCTGCTGTTATTATAATTATGATAATTAGATTATCAGTAAAGTTTCGAGCTTATCACTAGCTATGTTTGCATCCAAATATGCAAATTAACTTTATACACAAAACTGGATTACTGCTTTATTCGCACGTATTTTATGCAATGTTTCCATCCAACAAGTCAAAGTGAACAAAATCGCCACTTCCTGATTAACTGGCGCCAAATCAAGAGTAAAAACAAAATTTGCTGCGGCAGGAGAAGCTGCGCAAATCTTTTTTTTTTATTTAACAAATGGCTTTCGTCTCAGTAGGTAATCCTGAAACGCAGTGAAAGCGTGGTGGCATTTGAAGGCATGAGACACGGAACACAGATGCTCTTGATTCTTAAGGTCATTAATAATATAACAACACTAATACTGAAATAGTAAGGCGTTTTAGAGTGACCAAAACATGTTTCAGAGGTTTTACAGTGTGCTAAACTTGCTGGTTTGTCCATTCT